GTGGTTGATCCGTAAACTGAGAGTCAGTTTAACCGGTCTTCCTTGTAGTTGCATTACTACTGGCCTATCACTGACAGTGTTGGATTTCAAGATAGATCTTGAAATGTTTTGACGACTGTGATGCCATCTAAGGAGCCCTGAGGATGGTGTAGTGGGTTACACTTGAGGCTACTAACCATAAGGTTAGCAGTTCTAAAACACCAGCCACTGCGTGAAAGAAAGATGAGACTTTCTACTTCCATAAGGATTTATAGTCTCAGAAGCTCACAGGGGCAGGTCTACTCTGTCCTGTAAGGTCACCAAAAATCAACTTGATGGCAGTTGAGATTGGTTTTGGGTTTGACTATACTACTGCCTTTCACGCGATCATTTCCGGCATAGCAGACTATAGGAGTGTTTATCAGCTCATGATTGCCTAAGGACCAGGTCTTGATGGTATTCCATTTCATTTTTGAAGACTTCCAATTTTCCTGTATTCATACTTCAGACATTCCACATTCTTGATTATTAGCAGTTCCAGCTGTTTCTTCTCATTTTGAGTCATGTCACATCCGCAAACGTGCTCAGAAGAGTTACTCCGATCCGCATCCTTCAGGTTGTCTTTACTTTGAGGCGGCAATACTTCCCTGAGCGCCCCATTGTCCGGCACTGTATTGAAGTGGTCTGCTCTATGCATAAGGTTTTCACTGGCCTTTTGGACTTATTTTTAGAAGTGTATTGGCAGGCCCTTGTTCATAGTCTATCTTAGTCTGGAAGCTCCAGTGAAAACTGTGTGCTACAAAATAATTTCTAAATTATCAAGGGTTCATCAGGGAGGAAGGGGGAAAAATGAGGAGCTGATGCCAGGGGCTTAAGTGGAGAGCAAATGCTTTGAGAATGATGAGGGAAATGAATGTACAAATGTGCTTTACACAATTGATGTACGTATGGATTGTGATGAGTTGTATGAGCCCCTAATAAAACGATTAAAAAAATAAAATAAAACTCTCTCTTAAAAAAAAAAGAAGAAAACTGTGTCCTATGGGTGACCCCACTGTTACTTGAAATAATGATGGCATAGCTTCTAGCGTTATAGAAACACAAAAGCCACCACAGTGCTGTGAACTGACAGACACGTGGAAGTCTATGGTACGCTCATTCTTCTTCACAAAACCATAATTCAAAAGCAACAATTTTCTTTGGTAATCTTTATTCATTATCCAAATTTCCCATGCCTATAAAATCCATAATTCATAAAAAGCCCGTCTTTTGTCTGAAATTTCTGTCAGTTATTGACAGTTCTTTGGGGACACTAGTTCCCTTACCTCCC